AATCAACAAAAGCCGATCCTGCCAACTCCTGAAACACCATCGGCTCCCGGCTTGGATAACATTGTTGATCAGCTACTCAAATCTCAACTAGCCCAAGCCGAAACCTTGAAGAAGATTTCTGAAGAGCTTACTCAACTTCGAGCTCACAACAGGATGCTTGAAAATCAAATCTCTAGTCAAGCATCAACATCATCAACAAAGGTGACCGGGAAATTGCCAGCTTGTCCTGAGAATCCAAGAGAGCAAATGAATGCTATCACTACTCGGAGTGGGAAACAAATTCAATCTCCATCTCTTCCGAGTAGTGATCCTGAAGAAGAAAGAGAAGAGGATGTCAAAGAAGAAGCACAGAACAAAGTCAAAGGAGATGCTGCTGAAATGCTACCAGAGTCAATCCAGATCAAAGAAGGAAAGAAAAAAGAAGAAGAAGGTTTGGTAAGGAAATATGCTCCACCAATTCCTTTTCCAAACCGACTCAAGAAATCACATATTGAGGAACGAAGAACCAAGTTCTTGAACCGTATCAAGCAATTGGATATCTCTATTCCTTTGCTTGATGCCATCACCGAAATTCATTCATATGCCAAATTTCTCAAGGAGATCTTAACAAAGAAGAAGGAAAATCCTCTCACGGTGGCCATGAGTCAAGAGTGCAGTGCCATTATCCAAAATAAGATCACACCAAAACTATGTGATCCTGGAAGCTTTTCAATTCCATGCTACATCGGAGGATCTAAAGTAAACAAAGCTCTTTGTGATCTTGGTGCAAGTGTTAGCTTGATTCCATATTCTCTATGTCAAAAGCTACACTTGGGTGATCCAAAACTAACAACCATGGCACTACAATTGGCTGATCGCTCTGTCAAATACCCAATCGGTATTCTCAAAGATGTTCCCGTGAAGATCGATAAATACTATATTCCAGGAGACTTTGTTGTCTTGGATATAGAAGAAGATGCCCGAGTTCCTATCATTCTCGGGAGGCCATTTCTAGCAACTGCTGGAGCAATCATAAATGTGAAGAAGGGTACACTCATCCTTGAAATCGGGGATGACAAGATCGAGTTCAATGTGCAAGAGCTGAGTAAGAATGCTGCATGCGTTCTTGATTGTTTCAACGTGGATATCATTGATTCATGTATTCTTGGAACTCTTGAGGAATCTCATTTACTCTCAAGAGGTCCAATGGAGTACACCATATGCCAAGCTGTTGAAGAGAAACAATCAAATGAGATCGTGAACTCATGCTTGGAGATTTTAGATCATCTCTCTGAACCAATGGAGGAACCGGAAAAATTTGAAGTTCTTAATCTTGAAGAGGAGCCTATGCCCAAAAATGATGAAATACCTAAAGTAGAGCTCAAACCTCTTCCCTCTACTTTACGGTATGCTTTTCTTGGGCCTGATTCGACTTTTCCGGTGATCATCAACTCTTCCCTAAATGTCGAACAAGAAGAGAAGCTGCTTAAAGTCCTTAAGGAACACCGGAGGATAATTGGTTACACCATTGATGATATTGTCGGAATCAGTCCTTCATATTGCATGCACCGCATCTATCTTGAGGAGGAATATAAACCAAGCATTGAGCACCAACGACGTCTTAATCCAAACATGAAAGACGTTGTCAAGAAAGAAGTGCTAAAGTTGTTGAGAGCAGGAATCATTTATCCCATTTCAGACAGCAAATGGGTTAGCCCTATTCATGTGGTTCCGAAGAAGGGAGGAATTACCGTTGTTAAAAACAACAACAATGAACTTATTCCTACCCGAATGGTTACTGGCTGGCGCATGTGCACTGATTACCGGAAGTTAAACAAAGCCACTCGGAAGGATCATTTTCCTCTCCCGTTCATTGATCAGCTACTGGAAAGAATGGCCAAACATTCTTATTTCTGTTTTCTAGATGGCTTCTCGGGATTCTTTCAAATCCCGATTCATCCTCATGATCAAGAAATGACGACATTTACATGTCCTTATGGCACATTTGCATATCGAAGAATGCCATTTGGATTATGTAATGCACCTGCGACTTTTCAAAGGTGTATGATTGCTATTTTCTCAGAATACATCGAGGAGATCATGGAGGTATTCATGGATGATTTCTCTGTCTACGGGAATTCATTTGAAGATTGTCTAATGAATTTAGACAAAGTGCTGAGCAGATGCGAAGAAGCCAATCTGGTACTAAATTGGGAGAAATGCCATTTCATGGCAACAGAAGGAATTGTACTTGGCCACAAAATCTCTAAAAGTGGTATTGAAGTTGATCCAGCGAAGATTGAAGTCATCGAAAAGTTGCCACCACCGAATTCTGTAAAAGGAATTCGGAGTTTTGTCGGTCA